CCTCCGTCTCTCATGGTAAAGTTGTTGTCCACTTTTTGCATTTAGAGCCCCTCCCCTTTCTGCTCACTCAATTATGAGACTGTGACATTTTCATGCACTTTGAATAGGAAAATGACAACAACTTTACCCATTACCAGGTTGAAAAATGGTAAAGTTGTGACACAGGTTTTTTCACCATGATTTGACATTGAAAAGTCAGAGAATATAATTTTTGCAGAGGGAATAATCCATTCCCTTATAATAATTACTATGATACAGTAATCCACTTTTATTCCCTCTCCAAATTTGAAAAAGTATCCTCTTTAACATAATACTAGACAACCCCTAATGTGACCACATAGTGAAGCAAATGTAAAAAATTGTTTTTTCCTTACTACTTGAAAGATCAAACTTTTTTTTCACTTAATCTTATCACACATTGTTCTCTTTTGGTATTAGTACTTAGATAATATATTTATGAAAGTAATTTTACACAGTTTGTATGTTGATATAAACAGCGATATTTTTTTAAATAATTTTTTCTCAATGGAATTTATTGGGCATCATAGTCATTTTCTCCAGAAAATATGACCATAACATGGTAAAGTTGTTTCACAGGAACCAGTCAATTCTACAGTTTTCTTCAATGTCATTGCTCATTTATATAGAAAATATCAATCATATAGCCTCAACAAAAAAATTACCCTAAAAAACAACAATTTTGACTCTAAAACTCTAACCCTAATCGTGTTACTTGAAAATTTCGCCTTTGTTTTCTATTGTTTAGTTCACTATTTTGGTAAATGTGTGCCAGATAAAAATGACAGTAAAATGCAAATAATACAGGGAAATGCCCTATTATCAAGATTTCCTATATTTTGAATATCAAAATTTAATGAAAATGATCATCCCATCCTCCTAAAGCTTAAAAGTAGTAGAGAAAATATGTTCTCACTTTTTCATTTTTTAAAGTCCCCAAAAAATAATTATAGCGCCCTCTACTGCCACCAAAGTTTTCTAAAGTAATGCCTTCTACTTTTTGTATTAACTATTCTTTTATTCTTATAATGTGTGTAAATAACACCAGTCAATAATACTACATGCTGCATTTTAGTTACATGTGTATCATTTTCATAGCATTGAATTTTTCATTATTCAAGATTGATAATAATCACATCTACAACACAGTTTTTAATCTCTTTTTTTTAAAAAAATACATGTAATTTAAACAATTTCTCATACGGTGATAGTTTTCTATCCCTTATTTTTTTTTTTCCTTCAAAGCAAGCATTATGCTTTATAATAACTTGTGGACACCCATGGCTTTTAAATACTGTATAGCGGAACTTGAAATTGAGGAATAATGCCTTTTAAAAACGGCAGTGAAGCTAGAGGGGGGAGAGAGAAGGGAGCCTGTGCCCCCCCCCCCTTCTCGTCCTATGCCACTACAAAAGTACAATTAACATACAGATTCAGTTTGCAACCCAAAATCTGAGTTATTTGTACAGCTATAAAATACGCTAAATTCAGTATTATATATAATTATTATTATTATTTGAACACTGTTCAGCCACTGATCCATCAAGCCCCAAATAATGTAGGCCCAATGTTCATTTCTGTTAGTAATGTACCAATCAATAATAGTTGATAAAAACATTTCAAAATCTTTATCTGCATAATTACATTATTTCCTCTTTGATGACCACCCCCCCCCCCCCCCCCACACAGTCTTTAAAAAAATCACGACTTTTTTTGTTGTTTTGTTCCTGTCACATAATGTTCTTGAAGGTATATCTGCTTTATTTGCATCTTATATGTATGCCTAACAACCAATAAGGAGGGCAAACAGAAATGAATATTTATCACCACTATTGGTTGTTGTTCTTGTTGATATTTCATTATGTATCACACTGTTAATGTTTGATTTTTATGTTCCTGGAAATCATATTAATAATTAAGTAAACTAAATCAATCAATCAATCAATCAATCAAAATCATCATCACCCTCATAATTATCATTATCTATTAGATTATCTGATCAACAGCATATCTCGACAAAATGAGATATGTCGATTAAGAGATTTGATTTGTATTGTAACTTGAAAAAACCATTCTGCTAAATAATAGTACACCATGCAAATGCAATGTTTGGTGAAATTTTCATCTTCAACACACAATCAACATGAGCATCATCTCACGATCATCAGATTATCACAATCATTCCCATCACCATAGCCATCTTCACTACCAACACTTATGTCATCATAAACGACATTAGGATATGTAGAACAAAAATATACAAAAGATGTTATATTTGTTTTAAACATATTGCATTGTGTAATGTTTTTAATGGTTGAATGACAAACAAAAATATATAACAGTATAAAGCGGTCACAGTCATAACTTTTTAGACAGTTTTCATATTAAGCATAACAAAAACAAGGGTTAACAATTGTAGCCGAAAAAACCCACAGAGCTTTACCAAAAATGTTCATTTACATTCACAGTAACGAAAGAAACAGAATCTGTTTTTTTGCGGTTATTTGAGATTTAATAGAGGATGTTTTCTTGTTACCCTGAATATCAACATCATGACAATAACAACAATTACAACACAAACTTTCCCAACTGAATATAATAATAATATCAAATATTTAGGAGCGCTAAAAACAATAAGTACCATAGCGCTTACAAATACATATATATATGAAAAAGAGGACAACAAAATGTTCTCACGTGAAGTAGATCCCATAGATCACTGGGGAAAAGGGTAAGTTTTGAGGGATCTTTTGAAGGTGGCAAGACAGGTAATTTCCCTTATAGAAAGAGGGATGTTGTTCCAAGTCTTTAATGCAGCTACTGCAAAACGTTTTTTCAGCTGTTGAGAGTCTAGATTTGGGAATGATAAGTTTACATGCGTCGGCTGCTGAGCAAAGATTCCGAGATGGTGTAATGTGTATATATACAAGGATAAACCATTGTCGTACTTTGACTTTACATGTTACACTGCTACAATCCACCCCTAGGAAGGACCCAGGTATTAATTTTTCGATCCATTTATACAAGTATCTGCATATGCATACATTGGAGCATGGAGCTACCATGTCCAACTCTAAGTACTCTCTGCATCGTGGCCACCAACAGACAAGACTTTTGTACACACCCCCCCCCCCCCCCCCCGGCCATAAAAAAGGCGACACTACTCCGTGCATTGAACAGGCGAACAGTATTACTTTCTTGCCCGGACCAGGGAATACAGGTTTACATACATAACCCCCCCCCCCCCCCCTTGCATAGAAGGCAAATAGGTCCCTGCATTGAACAGGCGAACAGATGAAATACAATGCCATTTTATTTTGTTGACAAGTGACAGATTCCTTAGTGTTACATGATTAATTTTTTGTAGAAAGCCTTCGCTGAGCATCCTAGGGGTCCTTCCCTAGACATCGGGTCATACACAGCATTGGTCTATAAGGAATAGAAAATGAATTATATGTTAATTTCAATTCATGCACCATATAAAAATGTACTTCTATGATTCAATTATATGTATTATTTTTTTCATATAATGGCGAGTTTGACCTCATTCCAAGTAGCAACAGCTAACTATGAAATGGACTTGAAGGGTGTTCTACAAAGAGTTAAGTTTGACTTAAAGTCATACGTAAGGGCCAATTTGCATACGTTATTAAACGCAAAATCTCATTGGTAGATTAGGCAACTAGGACTTTAAGTGCCACTTTAAAGGTAAATGTCCCATTTGCAGGCCAAATAAATGAAAAGATTAAATTCCAATGGCATTTGGAAGATATTACTAATTTATAACTTCTGTCAAAAGTAAGGGCTTGAAAATGCCTTTTTGTGGGAAAACAACGACGATTAGTTGTCAAATCGACATTAGAGATTGCAATCACTGAAGTAAATTGTCTGATTTTCAGACCCTTGTACCGAATGGTCATATAATTTGTGCTGCACATAGACCAGATCAGTTTAATTTTGGCCATTATAAGAAGTGGGTTATTGATGTAGACAAATGCTGCATGTTACAGCTCATTTATGTACTATGTTATTACCAAAGAAAAAAGAAGTCAGTCATCAGTCACTCAATGTTGTCCGACAGTGAAGTCTATAAAGTAAACGGGTTTCCTTACATAATTTGAATACTAGGACTTTGCTAACGTTTAAATTTCACATATAGGACATACATGCCATATTCATGATTCCTGCAATGTTCTACATAATTTGATGTTGGTTGCAAAAGGACACAGTAAGTCAAACTTAACTCTTTGGGAAACACACCCCTGATATTGTATAGGAGGCAGTCATAGTAGACCAGTTTAAAAACAGACTGAAAATTCACTTTTACTAAAGTGCATAGGGACTGAAAAGTGATATGATCTATACAAATACAGTTTATTATTATCATTATCTATGCATCTAATACTTCACATAATTTAGCTGTAGTATATGACAATTATTATGCTTACCAATGCTCGAAATGGCCTTTTCTTCATCTTGGACGCATTTGAAAGGGCAGCCTGTAAAATGAGCTTGATCATTGTCTGCTCTCCATCTGGTTAGAGGAGTCTACGCTGACACGTTGTGTGCTGAAAGAAATGTGGAAAATATAATTTCTTACTCCTCAAAAAATAGATTTCTGTTTCTTTCCAATACTTAAAGGGATCCGGTAACTTTGTCTCAGATTCTGAAACAAAATCCTGGAATTAGCTCATGCTGCAATGATAATTATAAACCTTTAGGTCAGTAAGGAACCCCCAAGGCTTTTACAAGCCGATCGCTTGTCTGATTATCAAGATGTTTATGATTGGAATTACAAATTTTGACACTACAGTCTATTGGGGAAAACAAGTGATGATTTTGAAGCGTGATTCTTTTAGGGCTTCAATATTACACCATATCACAGACACTGATAACATGTAGGGCCGTGCATCTCAGATTTAACATTGTTAAACAATGCCTTTAAAGTACCTACATACATATGCATGTATCTACTAGCAGTGACATTTGTTTACATGGCAAGTATTTTTTTCTTCTAAGTTTGGCGTAACAGAATTTTTGTTTACATTTTATCCCACAGAGTACCTAACATTTCATTCAAATAAATCTTACACACTGTACAAAAAAATTCCTCTACAATATTTGTAAGTAGGATGGAAAAGACAGACAATTGCCCATTACAAATGTTTTATAGGAAATGTGTATAACAAAAAGAAAAATTATGCTTAAATTTTCTTGGAAAGCAAAATTATTAATCATTTGAATATTGTTTGGACTATTTATCATCTACAAGAAAGTTACAATCCACGTCTCATTTAAACACACTTTATTGTGGATATACAGTGTACTTTATAGAAAACAGCCCTACATGTATTTCAGGTTCCCCCAGTATCTATACTAAGGTGAGTTTTGAGAGCTTTTGTCACATAAGATTAAACTTGTTTACAAAATGCTGCCCTAATTTGGCAAAAGGAACAAGTGACAACAGTGACATTTCATGTAAAAGAGTAAAAGAGCAAAATGCATCTGTCATTTACACTGACCCCAATGCAATAGCATGTCTTGCCTAACATATCTCTAAGCAGGACAAAAGAGCCCACTAGGTATAATATGTCTTTGCTTCCTTTTGACAAAGCAGGGCAGAATGTTTATTGGACAGTTAAGGATGTACAGTGTTTGGTTTCTACTAGCTGGTCTATAAGTACTGACAAATGTTTACAAGTTTAGGTACATTACTACATTTTAAATCTAAACTTATGATAAATCCATTTTAATCACACTCCCAAGTGTGATTTACTTACATGTGACTTTGTTGTGCTCAATTATATTAAATTGTGACAATTTCATAATTTTCTTGATATCCAAACATCCTGCAAGAAATACATATTCCCCCAAAAAGATAAGTTGCAAAAGTCTGCCCAAATAAATATTTCAATACCTTTTCAAGAAATTCCTTAGAAAATATCTATAGCTGATGGTTTCTTCTATTAAGGTTAAAAGAAATGAGTTTTCAAGAAATAAATTTCACTAATTTCTCATGCTCAAATAATATAGAAATCAAAAGATAAAAACTTTTAGGACAGTGGGAAGGGAACTATATTGTCATGGAAACATTTTTTTTTTCTTTTTAAAATTAACTGTAGGGTGTCCTGTCATATATTAGCTATAATGACTGGATAAATTTGCATAGGGAACAATAGGGATTTTTTTTCTTCTCATTTAATAACGTATCAAGATAATTCTTTCAAGCTTACCACAACTGCTTCCCCAATACTCGGTTGCCAACTTTGTACAACAGTAAGCTGTAAACGAAGAGGGAAAACATGAAATCAGTATAATTGCATTAAATTCATACATTCTATTTTGTTGCTTCTTATTTTAGTGTGATCAGTTAAGGGTGCATTCTGTCTTACAGAGAAGAAAAAGTTATCATAAGATCAATTCAAAGCCTATCACTACCTTGAAATTCATTAAAGTTGTTATTTCAATAGGTAAAATGCTTTTTTCTTGGGTCAAACTCATTCAATGTTAATGACTGATGATATAAGGTAAATACATACAAACAAATTGGGAACCAGTGCATTGCCTAATAATTTCCATATGTCACACCACCGTTCACATCATAACTTGCCTCAATTGCTTTTGTTAGGAATTATTGACCTAAGTTACATTAATTGCTTGCAGAAAAATACTTCTTTAACATTTATGGAAAAAATAAATTACACATTGTGCAGTTTTAATTAGTTTAGGACATATACTAAGTTTGTCTGTATTGACTACTCAATTATGAAAGGTGTACTGTTCATTGCAAGTACGTGTAGTTAAAATGCTTATGTGATCTAACAGAGTAAAATATGAAGCTAATAGCAATTGTAGTCATCAAAACTCCTTAGAAAATTCACTTACAAACATAACTCTCTTTTGCATGTTATGAAAGACAGGGTACAATGTATTCTATGGTTTATTTTGGATGTTACACAATGTTAACATTTCAATCAGATCATCAATTTCTACAAACTCTACACTATAGATGTTTAATCAGCTTGCTTTGTTCTTTGCTATAAACTACATGTACAATGTGTCATTCAAGAATATCACTGAAACATATGTATGAACAAGCAAAACATTAACAATTACAACAACAACAAAATGTAAAAAGTTTCCCGGCCATTTTAAGTTTTAGAAAAAGGGAATCCTAATGCATTGTTCATCCTGAGAATTGGACATTTTACATGTATTTTTGTATGTTTCAGGTTTTAATACTAGTTAGTAACAATAACGCTCTTAATCTTAATATGTATTTATCTATTTACTTGATGACCGATGGATGGATGGATGGATTGATTGGTTCGTTGATTGATCTTTACTCTTGCTGTGCCGATATCATAAGTGACAAACAGTTTAGGTTAAACATGTATTTTAGATTGCACATTGCTCCAACATGTATTTGGATACCAAGATATTCAGAGCATAAATCAATCATTCTAGTTATCTGTGAAATGTGAAATATAATACATTATAGATTCATAAAAACATTTATTTTCTTCTTGATCTTTCAAATTTCTCTGTTTGACAATAAACAATGGTTAAATAAGCAAGAGAAAAAGGACAAGCAGTATTAAAGCCCATTTACATGTATATTTCACACTGCATGTACCTTATAAATGTACAAAATACATTTGAGGAAGATACAATATATATGTTTAGGATCATTGAATAAGGTATTAATGCCGTTTTCTTTTATACATGTACATGTATGTAAATCTTGTTGGAAGGGTCAAGCGTTTGAAAGGTATTGTCATTAGTACATGTGAGGGTAATGAAATGAAAGGAAAAATGTATGAATAAATTCATTTTGAAGAGGCTTCACCTTATTGCCCCCACAATTGGTAATCCCTTTTCTTGTAATTTGGAAATTTGGCAGAATTACAGCCACATGAACATGTGTTTTACAAGTTTCTCTAATAGGAAATGGATACTAGAACTGATTATTGTTTTATGAATACATACTGTAAGCCCTTGTGCTAATCAATTGTATTTGTACATGTACATGTATGCAACCAATGAGTGTGTCTTGTAGAGTGCAAGCCTATTTCATAACATTTCTTGATAAATTGTTATCATTTAAGAGAAGGTTCATTGATTTTCAAAACTAACTTTATTGCAAAGCTAGGTGAAACTTTAATTGGACAAGGTTATCAAAATTCAATGCTTGGAAACATTTGAAGTAAGGATTATTATCAATTACAAAGCGCTTAAATACAGCCCCGGCATAGCACCTGAAGAGCTCTCTGAACACTTGAGATGTGTGACGTCACATTTTGAATATGATTTGCTCAAGCAGACGCTGTCCCATGACATCTCAAACATTTTCATTGCCTGTTTTGTCATCTTCTCTTCAGTTATTTCTCTCACTTCACTACCCTCAGGCTAAATGTTTAATCTATTGCCTCACTCTAAACCTCGTGCATGGTATTATTTTGATAAAAAAATGCAGCGATTTAAAAATTAAGGAATCCATGTAACAAAAATAAGACGCCATTTTATTTTCAGCAGCATCCACGGTGGTATGTTCGGCATTTCAAGAGGAAATTTTTATAAATCACCCGATATGGAGTTGACCTCAAACTTGTACGATGGCCATCTTGTCTTTAGCTTACCAGTTTCTAGTGACATAATTTGCCATATATATATATATATCGGACTTACAGATATATGTGATTTTCTTTGAACAGGCACTGTGAATGCAAATTTAAGTATTGAATAATGGCAGTAGTAATCCTTTCTACATAGATTAGTTACATGTACTTGGTGCTTTTTTAAAAGATATTGTAATATATTTTTAGATTTTAAGCTGGCTTTCGATTCAATCAACCATGATATTCTTCCTTTCAAAACTTTATTGTTATGGAATTCGTGGAGTTACCCTCAATTTATTTTGCAGTTAATCTAATGATAGAAACAATTCACTGTTTTCGATTCTAAACTTCAAGTTTACAGTCAGTTTCCTGTGGAATTCTGCAGGGGTCAATTATAGGCCCCCTGCTCTTTTAAATTCATTTAAATTATTTACATTCAGTCTCTCCCATTTTGAATTTTATACTGTTCACGGACGATACCAATATATTTTATAAGCATAAAGATGTCGAATGCCTGACCCAAAATCTGAACAATGAACTCCTAAAAGTTAGTGAGTGGATAAGCGCAAATAAACTGCAAATGTTTATGTTGTTTTTACTTTCCAAAGATGTGTGCTAGTGAAGTAAAAATATATATGAATGGGAATTTGATTAAACATACAAATTTAACAAAGTTCTTAATATTGATAAAGATAAAGTGGAAAGCACACGTCTATGAAGTTCTATGCAAAGTGTCTAGAACAATAGGAACTATGAGTAAACTAAAGACATCTTGCCACCATATTCTTACAATGCCAACTCACTATCTTGCTTTACATATCCTACTGTACATTATATGGCTTTTTGAAACAACATTTACATCTATCTCACTAATCTTGCTTACATATATCCTACTGTAACATTATATAGGGGTTTTGTAAACAACATTTACTTGATCATAATTTGCTTGATTTTATCACACTTATATATCTGTAGCATATCCATGTCATGTACACTGGGTATTGTTTAAGTGGGTGATTTTGAGCTTTTTGTTATCTACCAAATAGTTTAAATTGACCATCTACATTCTTTGGTTATATGACATCATTTGGAACACCCTCTATGAAAATGAAAACCTGATGATTTGCAAACACACAACAATAAAAATATCAAGAGGAGAGGTTGAAAAATTGAAATCTTACATCTATATTTGCCCCTCATTTAAACTACTGTAGTTAAAGTATGAAAATGTCTGTTAAGTGTTAACAGTCTAGTGTAACGTCCGAAACGTGCTAACAGCATACCAGAAAGTGCTGTTAAAATGGCTGAATAATTTTTACGAGTCCCTTTTGTTGAGATTTTTTCAGATAAAGTACAATTATGGATTTACTGTTTAAAGCAGCAAGCAATGCCTTGCATCACAAAGTGTGGCTTCAATATTGTATGTTTTATAAATCAATTTCGCAAAAAGTTGAGATATTTTACAGAAAATTTGATTTACTTTTTTAGCATCATATTTCTTAATATCTTTATATTCAAACCTATATAAAGTTTATCAAAATAGTTTCCTTAACAGGAGTGTTCATTGTGAAATCGTAACTTGCAGATATGATCAAAAATGGTGTTAACAATGAAATTGTGTAATGTCCGAAACAGCCTTCTTGTGCTTACACAAAAATGATTGGATAAGAAAGACCTGATTTGTGTTTAGACTTGTGTTAAGACTTATGATAACTCATTTAATAAACATTTATGAACTCCAGATATCCTAAAATATGGATTATCATCATTAAAATGGTATTTCTTGATTTAGACATTAAAAGTAAACTGTTAAAAGAAAATTGGTTTTAACTATAAAAAAATATTGTAATGATGCATTGCAAAATTTCTTTGTTTTGGTGGTTAGCTGCCTTGAGATGTTCAAAAATGTTATGATAGATAGTTCCTGCAGTTCATATCTTCTGCTACCTCTAATGAAAAAAATTTCGGACGTTGAGACAACTTTTTCAATTTTTGACTTTATTTCTAATATGCACTACTATAATTTGATTTCATTTCATTTTCATAGAATCACTTGGAGTAACTAATAAGCTTATTCAAACTATATACAATCTCATTAATTTATTTTTCTAGTGAGTTAATTGGGGATCTACATTGTTTACAGAAAATGTAACATCTGAAGCAACATTTTCAATTGTACTGTTCCATCAAAATACAGGAGATGATTCAGATTACTGTTAACTTCTTTAAAGTCCCTGTTCAAAGAAAATCACAAATATATGGCAAATAACGCTTCACTAGAAACTGGTAAGCTAACAGATGGCCATCGTACAAGTTTGAGGTCGACTGCATATCGGGTGATTTATAAAAATACATATAAAACCACCTCCATTGCATCTGGGATATACGAGATTCGCCAGAAAAATAACGATGTTTTAATGATGTCACATTATGAACCATCCCTGCCCAAGCAGACGACATCCCACAAAAATGAACATAATTGCAATGCTATTATTTCTCAAATTATAATGAGTTTAGTGAATATAAATGTGATGGCATTTGACACCATTCAAAAGGGGTATGAAACCGATTCTAAATTCTTTTATTTGTAAATACACAGGATAGGGGTTAATGATCAATCAAAGAAACCACACTTTCAAATTGAAAAAACCCTGAATGATAGCATGGACAGCATATGTTCCCTTTTGAAACGCCGAACTACCACAGTGTATATGCAGCTGAAAATACAATGGCATCTTATTTTGTTTACAAGCAATGGATCACTTTATTTAAGCGTTTTGTAACTGATAATAATCGTTACTTTGAATGTTTCCAAGCTTTGAATTTTGATAACCTTGTCCAATCAAAGTTTCACCTTTGCAATAATGACAATAAAGTTAGTTTTTAAAATCAATGAACCTTCTCTTTAAGATCCAATTATGCTCATTAATCATCAATAGAAAATAATCATATTGTTTGTAGCTACATATTTTTTTTCAGCTCCAACCAAAAATGGTATGTCAATTTTGTTACAAAATTCTGTAAACAATTTGCTGTTCAGGGATACCTCATGCACATAAAGCAAAGTTGACAATTTTTCATCAAGCTATGGGAGGTCAATCTAGGTCCATACTACAAGAAAAATTGGCAACTGATTTCTAATACTTTATCTTTGAAAAGTTTCAGGCTCTCAAAGAGCCATTTAGCTATTTGGTTTTTAAGAAAACAGTGAGTGCCTTATAAAATCTAAAGTTTTTTTGGAAATTCTGAATATATCTGATAGGGAAGTCAATTTCCCTGACTAACATTGGCAAGTGATTGTATTAGACAAGTTCATGATGTTCTTATATGAAGAGCAAAAGAGTACTGGGAAGTCAACACAAGATTTCTATCTCCCACTTTGAGAGACTGAGAATATCACTGATTCTTATTTGAATAAGTAATGATGGGAACTTAACTTTATCAATTATCAGTACACCTGTGATACCCTCCACAATATATCCTAAAACAATCCATCATATCTAATTATGTCTTACAGGCCTTCCAACTACAAATAGTTCTTTGACATTAACTAATCACATTGATAAATGTGAAGATAAATTGCAATCACAATTTGTGAAACAAAATCACCATGATAATGTCAAAACTGTGGACAACTAGGTTTATGAAAATTACATAAGTGAGCTTCAAAGCTTTTGAAATAAAAGAGAGAGCATTTTGAGAGTTCACATCAGGCAACCAGAGGCTGCATAACAATGGGCCTGGAAGTAGGTGTGGATGGGGGGGGGGGGGGCTCATTTGTACACCAAACAAAAAGGTCCCCCATCCACACTTATATAGTCCGAGCTCGATGCTTGGCTGCACTTGCAACATATTTTAATTTGCAAAAGCAAAAAACAAAAGATTGCCCTTAAAGAATAAATGGCCCTTTTTACATCATTCAAAACAGCTATATTGATGAGAATGGGACATTATTGGCATTAACTGCCTGAACATCATTAAAACACAATCCATCTTCAAAGTAAAGAAGAATTCACTGTTGACAATAACAGTGTTGTATAAAACATTTTGCTTTTGGACATATTTAGGATTGCTGTATATTCCATGAGAAACATCATTAATAATAGAATTGCTGCAAAAATTGCCTCCGTCATAGCAATTTTACAAAAGAATCAAATTCAGGATTAAGGTGAATATGGATTACATATATACAGTTGAACTGACCTCATGATCCTAATATCAGGTGCAGTACTAAGTTAAATTAGTAATCCATCTGCAGTTCTAATGGAATGGTTCACAAGTATACATTGAGCCCATGACCTTGGACCTTATGAACTGATCTACATTCATTGGCTCTGCAAGACATAAATGATCTAAGGCAGGAATCATCAATCTAATGAGCGATCACAAGCTGTGCATACATAGTGTGACGAGACTCGAGCATCTATAGTTCAGGCTCTGCAAGTAACATACATGACCTAAGTTTGGCAGGATCCATCAATCGGTTCTTGATATAACGCATCACAGCTGTTTTGCATACATAATGAGCCCTGTGACTTTGCCTTTGACTCGTGACAAAATCATCATTTCATTGGCTAAGATACATACATGACCAAAGTTGGCAGGATCATCTGTTTCTTCAGATAACGCGATCACGAGTTTTGCATACAAATGAGTGTGAACTTTGATCGTGACAAAATCTAATCAGTTCATCGACTCTACAAGATCATACATGACCAAAGTTTGCAGGAATCATCATCGTCTTCAGATAACGCGATCACGAGCTGTCATACATAATGAGCCCTGTGACACTTGACCTCGTGACCCAAATCTAATCATTCATCGCTTTGCTAGATACATATATGACCAAATTTTGGTAGGAATCCATTGATCCGTTCTTCAATACATATACATGATCGGAAACATGATACTACAGACTACTACAGATCGGACGACGGACGGACGGACGGACAACGGACGGAGGACACAACTAATCCTCCGCTACTTCGTAACAGGCATCAAAATAGGCATCATTGCAGGGGGGGGGGGGGATTCCCTTTGTAAACATACTGTAAGTAAATAGAGCAGTAAATGAAATGAGGAATATCGGTGCTCAAACCTGACTTGCAAAACTTTTTATGAGGGGTATTTACATATCAATACACTAGCCAGAAACTTACCACAATCAAATCGCTTCTTGATCCAGAAGGAACATCCTTACATCCAGGCTCCTATTTGTAGGACATAAACAAAAATGACAGGGGCATCGTTCATGGCAGGTAATACAAATGGAAGTAAACATTAGAAAATCATAAGTTTGAAAACAATTTATAGGTAACGTTGTACAATGTATTTCTTAGTTAAAGAATTTCATTTCATTTCATTGATTGGTTCAACCATTTTTTTTAAAACAAACATTCAAAACTACAAGCTCGAAGGCTTGACTGCACCTGCAACATATTTTAATTTGCAAAAGCAATAACAAAAAGGAGCTGATATGCTTTAAAAGACAAACAAATTCAATCGGAATAAAGTGAAAGGACATGAAGATTTAAGGTACATAAAATGTTTGAAAGAGTTACAAAGACCTACTCTCAGGATTACTATTTTAAGTTTTAAGAGTCACATACAAATAAATATTCATAAATCAAGTTTGACTGATGATGTCTCTCGTATAACAATATCCTTGAATTTGGTGTGAATTTAAATGGTGTTTATTCCCCTTCATAATGATGCCCCATTTGTAATGATTATCTGTATGCAATCATGGAATGTGCAACAAACATGAGTCTAAGGCAAAATTAAAAGTGAAATGTTGCAAAATGCATTGTAATTGTCAGGAACGCATTCTACATTTGTTTGAAAGATGTTGAGGCCTTGCAAAGTAATTATATGCAGGACTAAAAGCTGTAAACTGACAGACTTGCAACAAATGTATGATGTACTCAAACACAATGCAACAAATGTATGATACTCAAACACAATGACAATTTCTCAATCAGCTGATTACAAATGCATTTCATCTTACAAACAAAGTTTAAAAACAAGATTGCCCTTAAAGAATAAATGGCCATTTTCACATCATTTAAAACAGCTTTATTAATGAGAATGGGACATTATTGGCATTAACTACCTGAACATCATTAAAAACACAATCCATCTTCAAAAGTAAAGAAGAATTCACTGTTGACAATAACAGTGTTGTATAAAGCATTTTGCTTTTGGATATATTTAGGATTGCTGTTTATTCCATGAGAAAACATCATTAAAAATAGGCATCATTGCAGGGGGGGGGGGGGATTCCCTTCGTAAACATAAGTAAATTAGAGCAGTAAATGAAAATGAGGAATATCGGTGCTCAAACCTGACTTGCAGAACTTTTTTATGAGGGGTATTTACATATCAATACACTAGCCAGAAACTTACCACAATCAAATCGCTTCTTGATCCAGAAGGAACATCCTTACATCCAGGCTCCTATTTGTAGGACATAAACAAAAATGACAGGGGCATCGTTCATGGCAGGTAATACAAATGGAAGTAAACATTAGAAAATCATAAGTTTGAAAACAATTTATAGGTAACGTTGTACAATGTAATTCTTAGTTAAAGAATTTCATTTCATTTCATTGATTGGTTCAACCATTTTTTTAAAAACAAACATTCAAAATTACAAGCTCGAAGGCTTGACTGCACCTGCAACATATTTTAATTTGCAAAAGCAATAACAAAAAGGAGCTGATATGCTTTAAAAGACAAACAAATTCAATTGGAATAAAGTGAAAGGACATGAAGATTTAAGGTACATAAAATGTTTGAAAGAGTTACAAAGACCTACTCTCAGGATTACTATTTTAAGTTTTAAGAGTCACATACAAATAAATATTCATAAATCAAGTTTGACTGATGATGTCTCTCGTATAACAATATCCTTGAATTTGGTGTGAATTTAAATGGTGTTTATTCCCCTTCATAATGATGCCCCATTTGTAATGATTATCTGTATGCAATCATGGAATGTGCAATAAACATGAGTCTAAGGCAAAATTAAAAGTGAAATGTTGCAAAATGCATTGTAATTGTCAGGAAAGCATTCTCCATTTGTTTGAAAGATGTTGAGGCCTTGCAAAGTAATTATATGCAGGACTAAAAGCTGTAAACTGACAGACTTGCAACAAATGTATGATGTACTCAAACACAATGCAACAAATGTATGATACTCAAACACAATGACAATTTCTCAATTAGCTGATTACAAATGCATTTCATCTTTATACAAACAAAGTTTAAAAACAAGATTGCCCTTAAAGAATAAATGGCCATTTTCACATCATTCAAAACAGCTTTATTAATGAGAATGGGACATTATTGGCATTAACTACCTGAACATCACTAAAAACACAATCCATCTACAAAAGTAAAGAAGAATTCACTGTTGACAATAACAGTGTTGTATAAAACATTTTGCTTTTGGACATATTTAGGATTGCTGTATATTCCATGAGAAAACATCATTAAAAATAGGCATCATTGCAGGGGGGGGGGGGGGATTCCCTTTGTAAACATACTGTAAGTAAATTAGAGCAGTAAATGAAAATGAGGAATATCGGTGCTCAAACCTGACTTGCAGAACTTTTTATGAGGGGTATTTACATATCAATACACTAGCCAGAAACTTACCACAATCAAATCGCTTCTTGATCCAGAAGGAACATCCTTACATCCAGGCTCCTATTTGTAGGACATAAACAAAAATGACAGGGGCATCGTTCATGGCAGGTAATACAAATGAAGTAAACATTAGAAAATCATAAGTTTGAAAACAATTTATAGGTAACGTTGTACAATGTAATTCTTAGTTAAAGAATTTCATTTCATTTCATTGATTGGTTCAACCATTTTTTTAAAAACAAACATTCAAAATTACAAGCTCGAAGGCTTGACTGCACCTGCAACATATTTTAATTTGCAAAAGCAATAACAAAAAGGAGCTGATATGCTTTAAAAGACAAACAAATTCAATTGGAATAAAGTGAAAGGACATGAAGATTTAAGGTACATAAAATGTTTGAAAGAGTTACAAAGACCTACTCTCAGGATTACTATTTTAAGTTTTAAGAGTCACATACAAATAAATGTTCATAAATCAAGTTTGACTGATGATGTCTCTCGTATAACAATATCCTTGAATTTGGTGTGAATTTAAATGGTGTTTATTCCCCTTCATAATGATGCCCCATTTGTAATGATTATCTGTATGCAATCATGGAATGTGCAACAAACATGAGTCTAAGGCAAAATTAAAAGTGAAATGTTGCAAAATGCATTGTAATTGTCAGGAACGCATTCTACATTTGTTTGAAAGATGTTGAGGCCTTGCAAAGTAATTATATGCAGGACTAAAAGCTGTAAACTGACAGACTTGCAACAAATGTATGATGTACTCAAACACAATGCAACAAATGTATGATACTCAAACACAATGACAATTTCTCAATCAGCTGATTACAAATGCATTTCATCTTACAAACAAAGTTTAAAAACAAGATTGCCCTTAAGGAATAAATGGCCATTTTCACATCATTTAAAACAGCTTTATTAATGAGAATGGGACATTATTGGCATTAACTACCTGAACATCATTAAAAACACAATCCATCTTCAAAAGTAAAGAAGAATTCACTGTTGACAATAACAGTGTTGTATAAAGCATTTTGCTTTTGGATATATTTAGGATTGCTGTTTATTCCATGAGAAAACATCATTAAAAATAGGCATCATTGCAGGGGGGGGGGGATTCCCTTCGTAAACATAAGTAAATTAGAGCAGTAAATGAAAATGAGGAATATCAGTGCTCAAACCTGACTTGCAGAACTTTTTATGAGGGGTATTTACATATCAATACACTAGCCAGAAACTTACCACAATCAAATCGCTTCTTGATCCAGAAGGAACATCCTTACATCCAGGCTCCTATTTGTAGGACATAAACAAAAATGACAGGGGCATCGTTCATGGCAGGTAATACAAATGGAAGTAAACATTAGAAAATCATAAGTTTGAAAACAATTTATAGGTCATGTTGTACAATGTAATTATTGTTACAAGAATATCATTTCATTTCATTGATTGGTTCGACCATTTTTTTAAAACAAACATTTAAAATTACAAACGATGTTCGAAAGATATATTCAAAACATATTTGACATACAAAGTAAAAATGGTAGAATCATTGACATATAGTAAAGACGTGCTTAAGGATATGTCAGGAGGAATAGGGTTCCAAATAACAGAAAAATTGTTTCTTACAGATTTAAAAAATATAGTTGTTTCCTGGCCAAAATTTAAATGAGTCTCGCCCACGAGTATTATAATAATGAACATCATTAAAACACCAGAAAGCAATCAGTGAAAACTGAAGAAAAAGGGAAGTGTAAAATACAAGCAGTTATGAAATTTGAAAGTATGCTCAATTAATCAGAAGTTGGATATCTGCAAAATATTTTAAAGTCTACAATTTTTTGGGTAGAGAAATAGTCATCAATTTCTACTTGTTTTCCAAAAAATCATTTTCTAGCACCTTGTCCTATTGAACCAGGGAGTGCCTACTAACTCTTGATTATGTTGATCTTTCTTTAAAATAGATCTATTCCTTTGATCAATTAAGGATGGTTGTGTTGTGATAATTAATGGGAAGGCTTCTCACAAGAGAAAACATATAATTACAAAGTATTGTGTTTAACTCATCAACTTGAAAACTTTAACATGTCTTAAATGTCTTAGCTTTTATATAGAGTTCCCTTTAGATTTCACTATTTTGTTTCTTGCTTTTTTTTAAACCAACATAATAACAAGATGGACATCCACTTTCATGACTGGTGTTACATACAGGTACTTCCCTATTTTAAAAATCATTATCCTTATTGACAGAACTGTAAGCGATGTCAGAAAAACAAAACTTGTTCAACCTAAACAACAAGGAAGTCTACAGCTTTTTCAGGCTGGGGCAAAGACTGAGGTGTTACAGATACAAACAAAAAGCCAGATTCCTAACTTACAATACAAATTAAAAATAGAAAAGGACTTTCATTTGTGTAAAAAAAATTGGCAAACTTACAGTGCTAGTTGACACTCTCTTGGAAGAACAGCTCTGGAATCACTGGGAGCACCTCCATTCGTAATTCTCATCTCATTCATCTGCTAAGAGACAATGACCAAAACTTGTACATTCAAGAGATGCCTTAAATTTACATTACCTTAGTTTTAGCATAAACATCAAATTTTCTTTTAAAATTGAAACCAATTATGTCATGTAGTGATTATTGAGCATTACTGGTATGACTCCAAACTTTAATAGCGCTCAGCAAGTTCAGCAAGCTCAGCAAAATAAAGTTGGAACTAAAGTTGATTAAAAATGGTAGTTTTAATTATTAAAATAGAAAACCAACATACTATTAAAAATACAAATTAGATAAATTGGAATCAATGGTTTCTGTGACTAAATAATTCTGAAATTCATAAGATACATCTAAATTAGACTCTAGACCCAACTCCACTTCTCAACTAAATCTACAAACACCCAGTATGGGCACATCCTAGGTATTTACATGTATTCAGTATGTTATTGAGGTTTTATCAAGCTGATGGCCATGCCCTTACTCGCACTAATGTAGCCAGGGGACAGGGCGACACATGCCTCCTTAATAATGCTTTTGGATAAAACTTATTTGTTGTTGTTGGTTTTTATGGCGTTTTCCATAGTCATTGGTAACATTGGTAAACCAAACTGACGTTATTGGTACAACAAACTGACAGAATGCAACACACATACCAACAAAAGGTATAATTTACAAACAAAAATGGTAGAAGAAATACCATTTTCCAGTTGTGAATGTGTGAAAATTATCACAACTCTCTTGATTCACTCACACAGAATTGTTATCTTTAGTCAGTTGTAAAATGTGTCTGCCAATTTTATTTTGATTATATTTGGTTATATTTACATTTAGGTCCAAAGGATGAACAGGACAACATGATATGAGCTTAAAACTTAAGCATCATGCTCTGTTATTACATGTAGCTTTGGAAAAATTGTCAGAAAATTGATTATGATGTACCCACATCATGTGTGATTTACCAACAACAACAGTTAAAGAATACATTTTCAAACGGTAAAGTGTAAAATTGTCTCAACCTGCTTCCTTTGCTCACTTAAACAAAATGTACTTCCTGTCCTCCATCTGAATGAAATTTCTTTCAAGTTTGATGGAGTTCCAAAGGACCAACAGAAACAGAGTTTACTAATGTATACCTAGCTTGATAATGAGCATAATTAATACAAGACCTGTTTGACAGTAATTAATTAAACCTGCAGTAAAGATGTGAAACAGGCAGGAAATCAGAGGACAATGATATTCTGGAATTAGATGACTTCCCTAAGCTGGGGGATGCAAAACCTCCCACTCCCTTCCCTTCCCCCAATTCAGGGCAACCAGCTCATATTAAGGCAGCAATTACTTGCCTTTAGCCACTTTTATTGGGTTTTCATAATTTGTTGATAAGATATCAAACATAAATCAAGTCAATCAAACAAAAAACAAACAAAATGCAGCAATACAACAGCATACAACGAAAACAGTGCTCCGTAACTATCTACATGTAATAAAAGCAGTCACTTTGTCTCTTCCACATATCTATCCTCTGTAATTAGAAAAAAAACAAGTGTCTAATTTAGTAGAGGGATAAACATTTTTGCATTTAAGTATCAAGTATGTAGAATTTGAAAGATTAAAAAAGCAATCATCATAATAATTTTGCTTTCGTAGATATACAGACAGGATTACAGATCATAACAGTTAAATTTCCTTTTCTTCCAGAGAGGGAGAAAAAGAAAGTATTTAAAAAAAAAGTAGTTTCAGAAATTAATATACTGTACTCATAACTTAAATCTCCATTTCCGAAAATGAATTGGAAGTTTGTCATTTTTCTTAGCAATACGATATTCAATATCTTTGTTAACGGCAATACATGTACATGCTTTATAACCGTAAAAGGTTGGTGGTTTATTTTTGAATTTGCAAACATACATGTAAGTATAATATTTAGGTAAAAGAAACAAATATATTAGGAATTTATCGACATTATAACTAAACATCTTTTCAAATGTTGAAACATTTTGTACATCAGGCTTTTTGGTTTCCTGAAAAATAACTTTCATATTTTCATCCCAAATGTGTTTTACAATAGGAAATTCAATAAAAACATGTACCGGTATATAGGTTTCAGGGGCATTAATTGTTACAAAGGGAACAGTTGGGGGAGTCCTTTCTTTTGATTTCATACAAAAAATCATTCACACCTAGTGCTTTAAGAAATAAATTTAAATAGAAAGAGTGCATACATGTACTTATGGTGGATTTAAAATTATTTACATGATTTTTTTTCACATTTGACCTCATCAGAGTTGTGAAAATCATTCCTAAATATCATTTGTTTGTATGGAACACCTGGTTTTAACATGACACTGTATGCATATTTTGGAATTTTCTGAGTTTTCAAAAGTGTGGACTGTGGTTCTAATTTCTTCAATAATTTCATGTGGGGTTAAGTGAGACTAACCACTCATTTTGTTTATTTTTCACATTCAAAAGTTGCATTTCCTCCTGTCCCGTGCAATAATATCATAATCAAGAATAAGCTCCTCAAATAGTTTATTACCAGGGTGAGGAGGGTTGAGTAAATCACTAATAAACAGTTACCTCTGTCTAACCTAGCTATCCTGATATATGAAATGTTGCTTTCATTTTGAGCAAACGTTTCTATTCAACCAAATAAACTGACAAGAACCAATTCTCGCTACCCTAAATAGGTACGAAAATCTCGAAATTCGCGAGACGAGTAATTTTCACTCTCTCGGGTCGTCACTACAACTTCCGGTATAGAGTCCCATCCCGCTGGCGCTAGCGCCTGTGTTCGCTGTGCAGAGTTTTCACGCACGCTAAAATCGATGCCAATCAGTGTAATTTGTACAGATTATAATATGCAATGGAAAGCTTCGGGCAGAATTAGTGACTTTAGCACAAAAGGCCGTTAAACTCTACCGTGAAAGAGAGGGTTGTGATCACGAAAGCCTGCACAGGAAGCTGTAATGTCGAAAAGCTATCCCATAATGCAATGCGTTTTTCAGGATTTTCCCCGGATCTCGCAGAATCGCTATTTGGGGTAGCGAGAATTGGGAAAAGGGTGAATCAAATTCAGCTTCCAAATTTTTTCCCCTAAATATATAACATGTTCGGAGAGACTTGGCCAATTGACTTGAGATTAATCTGTTAAGAACATATTCAGATGCATGTGTGTTCCATAGAATATCCTTACTATCACTAAAATTGTTACAAACAGAAATTTAATAGACTTCCACCAACTATCATAATTATCATGAAGGAGCATTTTAACCCATGACATTTTTTGTGAAACAGACGAAAGTAGGGGTCAATCATTCGTAAACCACCCAAAGAAAATTCATTACACATGTATTGTCTTTTGGCCCTACCATTTCCACCACTCTATATATACATCTAAACAACAAAGTATTTAATCGTTTGAAAAAGCTCTGTGGTATTTTAACACATAAGACAGAAGGAAGAAAAAAAGGAGTAGTGGCAACAATAGGGTCTTTACAACACAGAACTTCCCAACGAGGGATAAGATTCTACCAGCCAGCACTTTAAAGTCTTTTTAATGGATTTGAGTTTGGTCCTATGATTAAGTTCATATAGTTGATTTAAATTCAAAGAAAAATGGACACCTAAAGTTTTTAAAGTAGAGTTATTCCACTTTTAACAGTTAACAGAAAAGGAAATGCATAAGAGCCTTTCTTAGAACCAATCCATATTGCTTCTGAATTAGATATATTGAGCTTACAACCAGAGCTATCAGAAAAATTACCAATAGTGTCAAACAATCATCTAAAGGAGGTAACTGAGCCATCAATAAAAGATACTGTGGAATCATCTGCTAACAAAGATATTGTTATGTATTGCTAGAGGCATGAGCGTCCCTGGACGGTGTGTGGGCTCTATAAGTTTACACTATTATTACATTATTATTATATTTTCAATTGTTTAAACAAATTGTTGGCTTACACCCAGTAGATGCAGGTTCAAATCCCACTAGTTCCAAGATTTTTTCTGACTTGTTTTTTAATTACAGATCAATCAACCAATCTTTATTTACTGGGTGTTAGCCAGCAATTTGTTTTAAACAATTTAAATTTCTCCCAGGAAGCATTACATTTATAAAGATATATATTATTTTCAACTGGTACTCCTTCGCTTTGAAAGTTTTGTCTAATAGTAAGAGCCATAGTTTCAATAACTAATAAAAACAAGTATGGAGATATGGGACTTCCTTGAAAAATATCATTTTCTCATGTTAATAGAATTTATCAAATTTCCATAATTACATACATAACTTTTTTGACCAGAATAAAACATTTATATCCAGTTAATGAATTTATTACTGAAATTAAATGCTGTAATACACCAAGAAGGAACTGATGAGAAACACTGTCAAAAGCTGTCTGAATGTCAAGCAGAACAATTGCACCTGGAATTTTCTTTGAGTCTGTATAAGATTCAATTTAAATCTGTTATCAACCAGAAATTGTTTCCAATATTCCTACCCTTTAAAAAAAAAGATTGGTCAGGGTGAATCAAGTATGACAGACATTTTTTCAAACGGTTTGCTAAAGTTTTGGCTAAAATCTTGTAGTCTACTGTTAATAAGGAAATAGGTCTAAATTTGGGTAGATAGGAAGTATCTCTATCTTTTTCAGGAATCAAAGCAATAACTCCATTCTTTTGAGAGGTAGACATTAGTCCATCCTGCAGAGAAGAAAATTTACACAAGTTTAAAAGCATATCAGAAAGGTCTTTCCAAAAAACTATATAAAACTCCACAGGTAAACTGTCCAGTGATGGTGATTTGTTATGACTCATTGAATTAAGTGTCTCCAACAATTTTTGCTTAGTAATGTGTTTTTCAAGAAAGTCTTTATGAACTTCATTTAATTGAGGAAGTTCAATGGAATCTAAGAAATTAACCATTATACCATCCAAATTATTATCATTGCATCTTCTCTTATACAGGGCTTGATAAAATGAATGAATTTCTCCCAAAATCGTTTGTTGATTTACAATAAT